GGCGGGCGCGTGGGACGCAGTGACCTTGGCCGCCGCCGCGCTGACCGCCCCGCCCCGCGCAGCCCAGGTGGGGAAGACGTCTCTGATCTTGTCGCTGGTGGGCGAGGAGTTCCCCGAGGAGGTGAGTGGCCGAGCGCGTCTGGGCCGGAGGCTTTCCGCGCGCCCCGACCAGGGCCCCGGGCGGCGGGCTGTCGGCCACGTGTGGTCCCCCTGCGTGCTTCAGCGGCGTCACCTCAGTGCCTACCGCGCGTGGGCCTGGTCTGCAGGCGGGCTTGGTGCGCCTCCTGGAATGACAGGTCGACCCCCGCGGTGTTATTCGAGCTCCGCCCCAGACCTGCGGGGTGGGCGGGAGGAGTTTGTCTGGTGAGGCCGCCCCGGGCGCGCCCTTCTTCCCTGGGCCACCCTCACGGGCCAGGTCTACAGCAGGAGGGCCTTTGCGTCCCAGGTTCCTCCCCGGGCAGAAGAGATCACAATTCCTGCAGATGTCACCCCGGAGAAGGTGCCCACCCACATCGTAGACTACTCAGGTAAAGCCGCCCACCCCGCCCCAGGACTACCCAGTGTGGGTGGCTCGGGCAGGGTCTGCAGTGAGGTCTCTTTTTCCGGTCTAGAAGCTGAGCAGACCGACGAGGAACTCCAGGATGAGATCCGCAAGGTGTGGCAATGGGGAGGGCCTGAGGCGCTGCTGGGCCTGGGGCTCAGACTCTCCGTGTGGGGGCTGGCTGCCGCCTGGGCCTAGTTGTTCGGCCTCGTTTTCTCCTGGAGAGATTGTTGGATTAAGGAGCCTGGTTCGGCTGTAGCTCAGTGATTTTGCTGTGACCTTAGGGCTGGGGGTCGTTGAGGTCCCATGATGCATCCTGTAGGAGCCAGGGTGAGCAGACCTCCCCAAGAGGCCAGCCAGCCCGCGGGGCCCCTTGCCTCACGTCCATGCTTCCAGTGGAGCTCTGAGGAATGGATCCCGGTACTCTTCACAGCGGTCCCAGCACAGCCTCGGTGCCGCGGCGGGTGCTGTTGGGGCTGCAGTGCCAGACATTTGATTTGAGGGAAGCTGTGTCCCAGCCAAGCCCCCAGGAGAGGGGAGCTGGCCCCACAGCTTCGCCTGACCGCACTGCAGCCTCTGCCGCGCCAGGCGAGGGTCTGGGCCTCGGCCACCCAGGAGCGGCCCTCTTGCCGTTGGTGCCGCTTGTCACGAGCTGCCCGTGTCTGTTCTGAGCCCCCGGGGGGTGCACTGACCAGAGCCTTGGGGGACTTGTGCTGGGGCCTGGCGCCTCTGGCGGAGGGCAGGGCTTGTCTCGGTCTGAGCAGCAGCCCACCAGGTCGGGTGTACAGGTGGCCCAGAATGGGTGGCTGGAGGGCGGGGCTGGGACAGAGGCGCCGCTGCTCCCCCACAGGCAAACGTGGTGTGTGTGGTGTATGATGTCTCCGAGGAGGCCACCATCGAGAAGGTGAGCAAGGACCGCCGTGCACCGGGCTCAGCTGCTGACCTCTGCTCAGACCCTGGGGGCAGAAGGCCCCTCAGTGCCCCGCCCATCCCCCAGGCCGGCACAAGGCCCAGGTGGGAGCCATCTTAGTCACAGCCCGGCTTCTCTCTCAGATCAGAACCAAGTGGATCCCTATGGTGAATGGGAGAACCGAGAGGGGCCCCAGGTAACGAGGGGGCCTTGGTGGGGACCTCAGTGGGCACCTGGCCCACACCACTGTCTAGCCGTGGTGATCATGGGCCTCTCCCCAGGATCCCCATCATCCTGGTGGGCAACAAGTCGGACCTGTGGCCGGGGGGCTCCATGGAGGCCGTGCTGCCCATCATGAGCCAGTTCCCTGAGATCGAGACCTGTGTGGAGGTGAGCGGGGTGGAGCTTTATTCCTGCCCCAGCTCTGGTCCCCCCAGGCAACCAAGAGTAGGGTTCACGGGGTGACAGCAGTGCAGAGGCAGAGCGCCTACGGTATGTCCTACAACCTTGCATGCTGGTGGCTTGGGACCGGTCAGGGTCAAGTCGTCACTTGGAGCGCTTGGGGGGGTGGTGGGGGCCCTGACCTGCTGTGCCCAGGATGGTGTCCCCAGGGTGCTCCCAGCCGGTTCTCCTTCCCAGTGTTCGGCCAAGAACCTGAGGAATATCTCGGAGCTGTTTTATTACGCACAGAAGGCTGTGCTGCACCCCACAGCCCCACTGTACGATCCTGAAGCCAAGGAGGTAGGCAGGCAGAGGATAGGGTGGGTGCGGGGTGAAGGGCACACAGTGGGGAGCGGGTGTGCTGAGCCAGTGTCCCCGCAGCTGCGGCCCGCGTGCGTCCAGGCCCTCACACGCATCTTCAGACTCTCAGACCAGGACCTGGACCAGGCGCTCAGTGATGAGGAGCTCAACGCTTTCCAGGTGCAGCCTGGCCCTCCACACCCTGGGTGCCTGGCCTGGGGCAGTGCCGGGAGGCCGCCAATTAACACCAGGTTTCTCTCGGAGACAGAAGTCCTGCTTCGGACACCCCCTGGCCCCGCAGGCTCTGGAGGATGTGAAGATGGTGGTGAGCAAGAATGTGGCAGGTGGTGTGCGGGATGACCGACTGACGCTGGACGGTGAGGCCGGGCTGCCCGCTGGCGTGGGGTGGTAGGGCAGGGCCACCAGGCCGGGCGCCAGACTCTTGCCTCCTTGGCACAGGTTTCCTCTTCCTGAACACAATCTTTATCCAGCGCGGCCGCCACGAGACCACCTGGGCCATCCTGCGGCGCTTCGGCTACGGTGATTCTCTTGAGCTCACAGACGACTACCTCTACCCCTCGTGAGTGGGCTTTTGGGCTCCATCTCGAGGACCCCAACTGTGTGCATCTCTCCCATGAGCCTCAGCCCCACACATCTGTCTGTCTGTCTCGTGGGTGGCCTGTGCGGTGCCTCCTGGGGGTGTCTGGGCCTGGCTGTACCCTGAGCAGAGCAAGCCGGGTCTGGGGGACTGGCAGCCTGCCAGAAAGCCTGTGCGGGGGATGTCCTGGTACGGCCGCACAGATTGTGATGCATCTGTCTCCCCCCCGACTCCCGGGACTTCAGCGGGGACCCCCCACACCAGGCAGATGGCCAACTGTGCTTGGCCTGGGGTAGGGGTGGGGAGGCCCTATGGACAGGCTCCCAGCAACAGGCCCCTGTCTCCGCAGGCTCCCCGTGCCCCCAGGCTGCACCGCTGAGCTCAACCACTTTGGCTACCAGTTCCTGCAGAGGGTGTTTGAGAAGCATGACCAGGTGAGGGCGCGAGCAGCCTGGTGCCACCCCTGCCCCCGCACAGCCCTGTTGCCCGCGCGTCACCGCCCCCATCAATGCTTCTCTGCCCAGGACCACGATGGCGCTCTCTCGCCCTTGGAGTTGCAGAGTCTCTTCAGAGTGTTCCCCGCGGCCCCCTGGGGCCCCGAGCTGCCCCGCACAGTGTGCACCGCGGCCGGGGACCGGCTTCCCCTGCACAGCTTCCTCTGCCAGTGGACGTAAGCACAGCCCTCACTGCCCGCCTGGCCACACCGCCGCCACCACCGCCACTCCGTAACGCCCGCTCACCCGTCCCCAGCCTGGTGACCTACCTGGACGTCCAGCGCTGCCTTGGGCACCTCGGCTATCTGGGGTACCCCGTCCTCTCTGAGCACGACTCCCAGGCCCACGCCATCACAGGTGGGCACCCGTCTCTCTGGGACCCCGTGCTGGGCCTCCCCACTGGCCCCATCCTCACTGAGCGGGCACCCGCCTCGCCGGGATCCTATGCCAGCCCCCATCTCTTGTCCCCCCACAGTCACCCGCGAGAGAAGGCTGGACCAGGAGAAGGGGCAGACGCAGAGGCGCGTCCTCCTGGGTGAGGTGGTGGGGGCGCGCGGGGTGGGCAAGTCCGCCTTCCTGCAGGCCTTCCTCGGCCGGAGCCTAGGGGTGAGCGACCTGCGTTGGGGGGGGGGGGGGGGGGGGCACCCTGAGGATCAGGGCCACCAAATGTCAGCATCTCCCTCTGTGCCCTGTTGTGCCCTCCCTTAGCTTCAGGAACCCACCACGGCGCCTTCTGTGTACGCCATCAACACGGTGCACGTCAGCGGGCAAGAGAAATACCTGATAGTATGTCTCGGTGGAGGGTGGGGCCTGTCCCGTACCCTGAGGTGCCCCCACCGTCCCTGGGTGGCCCTGTGAGCCCACCCCGCCTGAGGCCGCTCTCTGTCTACAGCTGCGTGAGGTGGACGCGGACGGCCCGCTGGACGTCACGTCAGATACCGCTTGTGACGTCGCCTGCCTGTTGTTCGACAGCAGCAACCCCGCGTCCTTCGCGTTCTGCACCAGGGTCTACAAGGCAAGGCGGGGGGCTCCGTGCGGCCCTGTGCTGCCGCTGCTCTGTGCACCGCCCTCACGGTGCCTTCACGTCACCCCTGTCCCTGCAGCAGCGTTACCTGGATGGGCAGACACCCTGCCTCTTCGTCTCCTCCAAGGCCGACCTGCCCCCGGGCGTCTGGCCACCAGGCCCATCCCCGGCTGAGTTCTGCCGCAGGCACCTGCTGCCCGCTCCCGCCCGGTTCTCTTGTGCTGGCTCGGCTGCACCCAGCACCGCCATCTTCAGCCAGCTGGCCACCATGGCCACCTTCCCGTGAGTTCTGGCCCCCATTGCCTCGGGCCCCGGCCCCAGGTGGCGGGTGGGCTGCTGAGCTGGGAGTCCTGCTGCAGGATGGGGGATGGGCTTGGCGGGACCGGGCTGCTGCTGAGGAGCCACACTCATGGGGCTCTGAGGCTTTCTAGGCTTAGCTTTAGGGGGTGGTGGGTGGGGCACAGTAGGAGTGCTGGGCTGAGTGGATGGACCGGGGACTTCTCCAGACAGCTCTGCCCTTTTCTGCAGACACCTGGTCCACGCGGAGCTGCACACCACCTCTTTCTGGCTCCGGGTGACGCTGGGGGTTGCTGGGGCCGCCCTGGCTGTTGTGCTCAGCTTCTCCCTCTACAGGGCCCTGGTGCGGAGCCGATGAGGCCGGCCTGAGGCCCTCCTGCCTGGCCCCAGCGCTGGCTAGGCCCTGCAGTCTGCCCGGGGCTTTCTCTGCTTGGACTTTTGCTGAGGACTGCCCATGCTGCACCCCACCCTGGAGGTCAGCTCGTCCAGCCCTGTCTGAGGGGCCTCCTTTCCTGGCAGCCTGGGCCCCACCACGTATTGGGCATCGTGTGTGTTGAGGGGACTGGGGGCACAGATGAGGAAGCTGGTGACCCCAGATGTGGAAGTCTCAGGGCCCCACTGCCTCCTTCCTGGTCCTGGGCCCGAGTGGTCAGCAGGGGTGGCAGGGGTCAGAAGTAGGGGTGGGCAGGAAGTGCTGGGACCACGTGTAGCTCCCTGGGGTCCGTGTGGGCCCACCTTCCACTGCTTTGGATGGCTCTTGCCTGCTCTCTCATTGGAGACATGAGACTGGGTTTTCTGATTAAACTTCAGTTTTCTTTTCTACCTCTCGGCCCCCATTCTTAAAGGTAGTTTTTCAGTGAATCCGTCTAAAACTCGTGCTCCGTTTAGCGTGGCTGGAAACGCGCGGCTCTCGCCAATCCCTTCCAGAGGCCTCGGGACGCCTCCCCCAGCACCCCCCAGCCTCTGCCCTGGCTCTGCTCTCTGCCCCCAGGTGTCACCTCCAGGCCACGTAAGGTCTGGCTGCACCGGGTGGGGCCTCTGTGTCCAAGGTAGTCCACGCCAGTCTGGGGATGAGCAGCTGCAGACAGACCATGTCCTTGAGGGAATGTAGTGGGTGGCCTGCAGGCTGTGGTCACCCCCCCATGCAGCCCACTTCCCAGGCCGCAGTGCCCGGCCAGCACCCGTTTCTGCTGTGCCATTTGCAGCGCACAGGAGCCCCCTGCCTGGGGACCCTGCCCAGTCCTGTCCTTCCTCACACCGAGAGGGACAGCCACAGTACCCCATGTTGAAGGGGACAGGGTGGTTCTCAGAGAACCTCAGACAGGTACCTGCTGGTCCACGTGTCTCAGGGCCCAGAGGGGATAGAGCCTGTGGGTAGCTGAGCAGACCGGGGCCCCGGCCCAGCCTTTGCTGTCCTCTCCAGCATCTAAGCCATGTACTTGGTGCCTGGCAGGCCCGGTACGCTTGGTGGTGCTCACTGTGCACGACTGCTTCTGCCCCAGGAGGGCGAGGTGGGCGCCGCGGGAGGGCAGGCCCCTCCTGGCCCTGTGGGCTGTCTCTCCACCCCCACCCACCCTCGGGCTTCTCTGGCCCTCAAGCAGGGCTGGATGCTATTTTTGGCCCCGTGTCCCCAAAGGCCACAGCCAGCAAGAGTGATGACTCCATTGCGTCACTGCAGCAGCAACCGTAGATGTGCACGGCCCTGGGAAGGGTCGCTCCGGTCACCTGTCTCCTCGGTCTGTCACGTCCATCGTGTTAGGAGGTCTACACGCTTTCCTGGGAGCAAGTACCCTGATTTCATCCCAGCTGCAGCTCTGCCCCGATGTCCGCGGGTCTGCCTGAGCCTCCCTAGCCCCGTCCCTGCCCAGCCCCAGTGGCCTCCTGGTGCCAGAGACCCTGGCTATCCCTCAAGGTGGCTGCAGTAGTGGTCAGGCACCTTGAGCCCGCAGCCCAGATGTGCGCAGTGGGGGCTGGTTTGAGCAGGGGCAGCCGCACTGTCACCTTCCCCTGCACACGCTGGTTTCCCTGCTAGTTTTGGCACCCAGCAGTGAGGCCTTGGGGCTGGGAAGGAGCCGAGGTGTCTGCGTCGGTCTGGGTGGACAGTCAGCAGGGAAGCTAATGAGCTGCAAGGGAAACACGGGGTCAACCGCCTGGGGCGTCGCAGGCGGCGCGGGTGGTCCCGGGAGACTTCCCTGAAGAGGTGACGTCTGTACTGAGGCCCGAGCCCGGAAGGCTGCGCGGGAGGTCGCAGAGCCGCAGGAGCGCGCGCGGGAAGAGCTTGGGCGCGGCGCCGTGACTCAAGTTTCCCAGGTGCTGCGCGTGGAAGGGGCGGCCAGAGCGCCGAGGCCCTGCCCAAGCGCGCCGGGGCGGGGGTGTCACGGCCGCGGGAACTGGTGCTTAGCGCGTCCGTCCGCGGGCGGGGCTGTGGGGCGCGCGCGGCGGGAGCGGCGG